TGATAAGAGAGGATATTGTGATAACTGTATCTCAACATGGTGAGGCCGAGTCTCTAGATAGACATACATATATACAATTTACTAGCATATTGAGTATTTATGTTTAACTTCTCAGGTACTCAGACATCCCATTGGAAAATTGAGAAGGCCTGTCCTGCGTGTCGTGGTTCTTGTAATGCAAGGCATGCTTACGTGGGGATAATATGGTTAAGTATTTCATTCGTGAGCAAAGGTTCCTTGTAACTATATTATTCAGTTTCATGTTTTCTCATAAGGAGTGCTGATTTTGTTTGCTATGATGTCTAATTTTTTGATAAGACGTATAATAGTCTAATTGAAGGAAAGTATCTTTTTGATGAGTTGCAGGTAAGGATACGGGAAATACCTGTCCTGGACAAGTTGCAATATCTCTATTCCCTTTTGTCTGCTGTGCTTCCTGATTAAACAGATCCATCAAATACAGTGCTATGAAGTAGAACTGGAAAAAAACTTCGTGGTAAAAAGGCTTTTCTTGTTCAATTTTCAGAATATAACATGTATGCATGTGACATTTGCAATTATTTTTCCAGCAATGACATAGATCTTGTCAGGACAAATTGAATGCAGATGAACAGATGTGCTGGTACAACTTTCGGAACTTTAAAGATATTTTTTATTGGTGCCATTTGTTTTACTATGATTAGAGTCTTAAACATTAATATATTAAGGATTCCAATCCAAGAGCATGATCTGTTGCATAAATACATAGATCCCATTGTGTATGGTGTTTGTGTTGGTGATCTACATCAATTACAAAATTGAAGGAAGAAATTATTCTACTGATTAATATCTTATGTCTTTTTTCCTTGGAATTTTTTAAAGGAGGTTGTAAAATTGTCCAATAGTAAAAATAGTTGGCTTTTGATTCAATTTAAACTGTTAAGTATTGCAGTTCATCATTATTTGTTTTCTTGCAGCAACTTCTGTAGAATACCATCATTGATTATCACCGCCATTGTGCAAATTGCTTGTTAATCTGTGCCTTAGTTGCTGTCAAGATCTTCGAGGACCATCTAGAGTGATAGTGAAGGAGAAAATCATGCTACTGGGAGAAATCAAGACTCAGAAACTGTGTCAGAGCAAGTTAAAATTCCAACTGAGATTAAATTTATCTGATAGGTTCCCTGGCTGGAAAGCCAACAGTGATGGCAGTATTCCATGCCCCTCCAAGGAGTATGGTGGCTGTGGTCATCGATCATTGAACCTAAGCCGAATATTTAAAATGAATTGGGTTGCAAACTAGTGAAAAATGTGGAGGAATGGTTAGCGGTTGTAAGGTTCATGATGCTGGAACTCTACAATAACTGGGTCGAACAATCCAAGACTCCAGTGTGCTCACAGAGAGGACGAAGAGGATAATTTCTTGTACTGCCCATTTGAGATACTAAAACTGAAGGGATTGGCAATTTTAGAAAACACTGGGTCAAGGGTGAACCGTTATTGTTAAGCAGGTATGTGACAGGTCATCCATGTCAATCTGACCCAAAGGAAATATGGAGGGGGATTCGGGAGACAGCAATGAGAAGACAAAGATGAGAACAGAACAGTGAAGGCTAAGATTGCTTAGACTGGTCTGAGGTGGGCTTTCGTTGCTATTACTTATTTTATGTTTATGATTCTTCTTTCATCCTGGTATTCCTCTATATTTCTTGAAATTATTTCCTGCTTGCAACTAATATCTGTGATAGTGGTTTTCACTTTTGGGCAGGTTGATATTGAACTTAGTCAGTTCATCAATGGGTACTCAGAGGGACGATTTCGTGAGGACGGTCTGCCAAAATGTTGAAATTGAAGGTTGGCCTTCTCAGTCTTCTGAAGAATTTTTATTGTATCATAAACCTGAATTTAAGTAAACTGCCTTTACTTGATATATTCATTCTCGGTTGGGTTTTCTAAACGTTGCTGCAAAACTGCCTCATTATTCCTTGCAAAAGAGTGTAGGACCTAAGATTATATGTCTTATGGGACTAATGAGGAACTTGGTAGAGGTGATTCAGTGACCAACCTTCACTTCAATATGCGTGACATGGTACGTTACACATTCTTGCTTTCGTCTGACCTATGATCAGTTGACTTTGAAGACTATTTTCTCTATTTATCATTGGGAAATGATGAATTTATGACTTGTAATTCAATAATTAGTTTCTGACCAAAGATGATTTGAGAATATTTGATCTTATTCAATCGGTACAATATCAGGCTCAATCTTGGCGTGGACTAAAGAAATTGAATTCAAAGTCGGGTTGCCCATTTGAAGTTTTCAAATTTACCTTGTGCTTGCTATTTATCAATGTATAATACCTGATATCACATTAAAACTTATATAAAGTCTATCTTATATTGATACGATAATTGAGTTTGGTTCGGTTCTTACATGAAATCCCACTGGTGTCAAACTTGTAGGGCTTAGGAGAATACATACTTTGTTTCTTTCTATAATATATTCTTCCCTACAGTGACTTAACGTAGTGATAAAATAAAATTGCTGATATTTGCTAAACTATATCAGGTATATTTATTGGTACATACTGCGAAGTGAAGCAGAAGAAAGCAGAACTGAGAAGATTCAAAGTTCTGCCTCAGAATCTGAAGTGAATGAGCCAACTGACAATCCTGAAAAGAGTTTGATGAAGGAAAGTTACCTGATTATCACTTGGTGGAATGATGTGAAGATGAATGTGGGAAAAGTCTGCTGAAATGAGGATGAGGTAATGGAAGATCAAGGGATTGAACCTGCTACTAATGAAGAAAAGCTGTTAATTCTGAAACGTTAAATAGAGATATGGAGATAAGTCCAAAAGAGTCTTCCAGGAGCACATTGGGATATCTTCCGTCGGCAGGATGTTCCAAAGTTAACCAAGTATTTGCAAGAACACTGGGCGATTTTGGGGAGCCTGGTGATGATATAAATTTCGTAAGTTTCATTCCTTAGAAATAAATCCTTTTTATTGAGTATAAATTTGATTATATAACCTTGAGTTACTGATTCTATTGTTTGGATCTCAGGTGACACGTCCTCTTTATGATGAAAAAATATACCTGAATGGGGATCATAAAAGAAAATTGAAGGAAGAATTTGTGAGAAACTTTTTTGTAAAAATATTTCATGAGCTGGGAAGAATTGTGAATATGCATCTCAGTGAGCTTTGAATCCATTTTGGTTTTCTTGAATGGTTAATCAATAACACATTGGAATTGGATCAATGCTACAGTTTCATTTTCTCTGTCAGGAGTTGAGCCATGGTCGTTGAACAGCATTTGGGGCAAGCTGTATTTGTCCCTGCTGGCTGCCCATATCAAGTGAGAAATCTTCAGGTGAGTCATTATGATAGCAACGTGTTATTTGGATGGGTTTTACATTTCATTGTTAATGCTAAACACGAGGTCTGATATATTGAATATGACCAGTGAGATTCTTTTCTACTTTTGTTTTTACTTTAATTGGCACGTACACAATAAGCAATTGGTACCTCATAGATAAAAAAGAAGCATATGAATTGTTTTAGTGTTACTGACAGACATTTGGAAGTGGTGTAGAAATTGAGGTCACAGATTTTGTACTGCATCACGAAGAAATATATATGCCTTTTTTTAAAAAGCGAATCTTTAATCTTTTATCTCATTGCATCGCAAACAATGTCGTTTACTCTTCTGTTTCCTACTGTTCATGCACACTTTGTTTTTCCACATTTAGTGTTATTTCTGATATCAGTATAGATATTGGTTAGTTTTTGCGAAACTAAAATTGATTTAAGGTAAAAACAAGAGAAGAACAAAAAGAAAGAGAACAAAGTACTCCTTGAGTTTCAATTCTCGGTGAAATTACTTTCAGCTATCATCTATAAGTACTCTGGAAACGGGTTTAGTTGATTGGGATTTAAAAAAAAAAAAAATTTGCATATACTATTTCAAGTCAGCCTTGTAGTTTTGATATTTTTATTCGATTTTCATAAGTTATGTTGAATAACTTGTTCCTTGTTATAAAATGTCAGTCCACTGTCCAGTTGGGCCTTGATTTTTTATTTCCTGAAAGCGTTGGAGAGGCTGTGAGATTGGCGAAGAAATCCATTGTCTTCCCAATGAGCATGAAGCAAAACTTCAAGTTTTGGAGGTCAGGAAAGGAAATTTTTCCCAGAAGTACTTAGTGCCTTCCTTTTCCTTAAAAGTTTCTATTTTCCTTTTATTTTATTCCCTTTCTTGCCTTATTTCTTTCTATATTTTTCTGTATAAGTGATTTAGGCCTATACATAATGAATTTGTTGATTTTATACTGATGCAGGTTGGAAAAATTTCACTATATGCAGCAAGTTCTGCTATCAAAGAAGTCCAGAAATTGGTTCTTGATCCAAAGTAAGCTATTCCACCATTAAATGTCTTAGTATTGGCATTACTGATTTTAGTTTTGACATTCTACCTTTATTATTGAAGAAAAAGATTGATTGTTCCATTTGGCTGTAAGCCTTTTGACCATGTTTCTAACTTTTGTTTATTTACTTAGTGTTGTTATATCATCTTTTGGAATACCTTAGATGCAGTCCCAGATCTCTCTTAATCTTCTTTTTTTTTTTTTTTCGAGAATATTAAAAGAAAGTTGTTCCCTTTGTGTTTCTATCACAGGCTTGGTGCAGAGCTTGGATTTGAGGATCCTAATTTAACTGCAGCAGTTTCTGAGAACTTGGAGGATGTTATGAAGCGCAAACAGATTACTTGTGCGTGAATTAGTGTACAGTAAATGTAATTTAGTCATATGATAGCTAATTCTTATAGTGGCTGCTTTAGGCCCTGAAGGAACTTTAATATACCAATGTATTTATATGGAATCTTCTAACTTTAAGTGCTTATAGTTTAAGTGCCAGATTATAGATTTGGTATCGTACCTTACATTTCGTCGGAAACACTGTAATGCTTGTAAGATGCTTTAGACGAAATGACAGCAAACTGTTTCTTCTACCAGTTGCAAATTTATGAAATGTGTTGTGAAATTCTGAGGGATTATCTGATTTGATGGCATCATACAGTTTATAAGGATCATTGCCAGAAGAGTTTGGACTGATATTATTGAAGGTCTCTATTTAAGTTTCCTTGCAAACACAGGTTCGGAAAGTCGCATGACAAAAACTGTGATTTCATGTTTTTCTTGAATTTAACATGAACTTGCAGACAATCCTGCTGGGAAATTGAATGCAGGTGTGTGAAAACTCGGCGAAAGCTTACAATTGCGATAGAGAGACAGGTACTTTGTTTCTTTCTCCGCATTTCAAGAGGTGAGAGCAAATGATTCAGCAATTGCATACAAGTCTGATTCCACTTCTGGCCATGCCGATTCTGGTGCTTGTGCATTTAGAGTATATAACTTGCCACTGACAGCACAACAGACTGCTACATTATGTCTCTGGAACGATGGGCTTTCAACTCTGAATTCCAGCTCATAGTACTGAACTTTCCTCAAAGAATCTACTCTCAACCTTGATTCTATCAGAGTTCCTTTCACATCTGGGCGTCGCCCCGCGCCTGTGATCGTCCGAACTACAGCTTCTCCCACCTCCTTAGGCCCTCCAAATGCTTCAATACTGTCAAAAAGTGCAAAACATGAGCTCCAAATTCACTTCTCAAACTAACTAATCTATGTTCATTCTTTCATTCATTTTGTAACACCATACTAGAAGAAATCGTCATGCAACACAACAATGTCGTGCAATATAACACTTTGAATAAACTGTCGAACACTTTTGAGGGGGGAGTACTCACGAGAAATCCAGAGGGACTGGTGAAACAATGACACTAACATTGAGCTCTCCACTTGAACCAGGAGGTCCAAATGCAGCAACTGGTTCATTAACATTCTTGCGCCGTCCATTGTTGAGGGGAGGCGGGTCAAGTGATCTCTCAAACTCTCTTTTCTCAGCTGCTCTATACAACAATGTCTGGTCTCCCACCCAGCTTTCTGGGTATATGAATTCTGCAGTTCACAATATAATATAACAGATTAAAATGTTTTCAAAAACTGAAGTAGTGTGACAAAATGATGATAAAAGTTACAGGACTTACTAACCAAATCCTTCATTAGTGTCAATGCAACGACTAAACCCTTTAATTGGATACAAAACATCAAGCTTAAGATTTCTCCCACTTTCAGGAGACAACCCCAGAAGAAAACTTGTAACTCCACCAAAATTTGCTCCAACAACCACTAGAGAAGCTGAACCAACACCAACAAGCAGCCGTCGCCTAAATGTTGCAGCTAGTGGTGCAAACTCCTCGGCCGGAGACCTCGCAGCAGCCGGCTGAGCCGATGACACCTCTCCAAACCTCTCTTTCCGGCCACCATTTGATGATTGTGTCATGTAAAATTTATGGACAGACACATTACCATTCTTGCGTGCATGACAACAATTTTGCAACGCCATAAAGTTTTGGTCACTTTGGTGACTTAAATCAGCTTATCATGTTAACTATATATTATCCTCAAAATGTCAAGTATTTTCCCTTTGGTAACCAATTATGATATGGGTTGTGTGTTGTCATTATGTATGGACTGTCTATACCTAGTATTTCTCAGAGGCAATGTTATCCAATTCTCGTGGCTCTAATATTTTGGGTGTTAAAAATGAAATTCTTAGAGCCACAAGCTTTCTCCAGAGATAATGACTCTTCCTTTATGGAGATGACTTTCTCTTTGCAATTATTAGTCTTCTTCTTATATAATATCATCCGCACCTAAGAACATATATTCCGAATCTACCTAGGTTCTTTTTAATATCTTAAAGATAATATATATCGGCCAGTTTAAACACACTTTGACCAATCTTTAAGGAGAGTTATCCTCTAACAATCCACCGTCATGATCCTCTTAATAAATTATAGACAAAAGTACTATCTTTACATCCAACAGAGAATTGAACCTGAGACTGTAGGTTCTATTCATTTGCAACCCCCTTGGTTCATTATTACCGTTAGACTACCCATGGGTTGGTATCTTAAGATAATATTGACATTGAAAAGAAAAAGTTTAAAAAATTCATATACATATAGATTACAAATTTCGTTCTATATATACCATATGAATGAATTAAATTATATACCAACATGTAGGGGCGGATGCAGTACTAGCATGGCCCACCCTCAGTTTTTTCAGACAAATACTAATATATACAATTTCTGGATTTTGGCTTATCCTAATAGAAATATGAATGGGCAATAAGTTTTTATTCCACCCTAACAGAAATTTCTGGATCTACCTCTGCCAATGTGCTTTATGAAAGCTTCTATCTAGCTAGCTAGCTCGTGCTATATATAAGGCGAAATAAATAAGATTTTGCTTGTGGTTTTCATGTTTTGATTTAAGGTAGAGGTGAGGGAATGGAAAGAGGAATGGGAATTTGAGTGTAATTAGCAAATGGAAGGTGTTTTAGAGGATAATCTAGTGAAAAATGTTTTTGGTTATAAAAACATTTGTTGTAAACTAAAACTTACGCTATAAGGGGAGTTTTCCCAAAAATAATAAAATTTAAAATTAATTTTATATAACTAATATATCTACAAAAAATATACATGTCACTGTATATACCTATATTTTCTTCGGTTGCTAATAAGGGTAATCTTGGGTTGCTAATAAGGGTAATTATTGAAAGGCTTATCCGGTCGTTAACTTTAGAGTCCTGAGAGATTAGTCGAGGTGCACACAAATTAGTCTGAACATCTCCGGTCACAAAAAAAAAATAAAATAAAAAAAAAAAAATTATAAGAGCATAAGATATATTAATATGGGAATTATCATCAATAAACTTCATGTAATGATATAAAATTCGACTAATTAAAACTGCTAATTAAAATTAATATATCTTAAACCAAAATCCTCAATGCCTTGCTCTTTAGCAAGACATGCATGATCCTTCTTAATTCCACCAGAAGTTGCAAAATTAAACTAAATTATTGAATCAAATAAAATAAAAACATTTTTTTTCTAGCTAGACTCCCCACATTTGCTTCTCCATTGCTGCATGCTGCTGAAAATGGTTCAATCCTTGCACTTGATGAACCCTTGATTGATGTTGGTCTTGATGGAGGTTCCTCATCGGTCTTGGCCCTCCAACTCCTAGGAAATCCACAGTCATCATGTCGCCACCGAATCTTGATGAGAATCCACCAGCTGGATTATTGTTCGCTCCACTGCTTGTATTATTAGTGCTGCTACTTAAACCTGAATTGTTATCCGAGTTATTATTAGTGCTCTTGGTGTCCGCCTGCTGGTTCAGATTCTTCATTAATGGATTGTTTTGATGGTCTAAAAACCTGTAAAACATTCCGATATCGTTCATGGCTGAGTTCTGGTCATCAACCGCCACTTCATCGTTGAAAAAGGGGTTCAACATCTGATCATTGTGATGAATGTGTTGTTGCATTGTGCCGGCAAATGACGGTGGCGCCATGCTTGTGACAAGAGAAGAAGGAACTGGGTTAACGTTCATATTCATGTTCATGTTACCTCCGCTACCATTACTGGCGGTCGCGCCCATTTGAGCCGCCTTCTGCAACAATGCAGTGGCCGATAAGGAAGCGGTAGAAAACAAGCTGCCTCCTGAAGAGTTGTTGGAGAAAACCGCCCCGGTTGGCGCCATGTTCAAGCTAGGTTTCGGCGGCATCGGCATGAGCTCGGACGGCACGAGCTCAGGAGCCATTTGGCTTTGTGGGTTCGCACCAGGAGGGTGAGCCATTAGCCCCTGGTTGGCCTTGTGGTTCTCTTCAGCTAGGGCATCACAGAAGGCTCTGTGGGTTATGAAACTGTCTCTCCTGCAAAACAAAGATTAATTAACAAGTTAATTAATTAATTAATTAATCAATTTAATTAGGTATAATAGCACTAATCGATAAGATAACAATGGCGATTACATTACTATAATTCAGAATACAAGATTAAAATAAGAGGGAGATTGAGACTTTAATTATATTATATGGTCAAACTAAGACTTTAAGCAATGGGAAGAACTTTGATTAAATTATTTAATTAAATATCATGTAATTTAATCACAATTCCTATATAATATAAGATCATAAAAATATGCAGGGTCCACTTATTTTGACATAAGAAAAAGACATCATTACCGATCCAAAATCTTGTCTTTGTTCATGCACAAACAATCAGTTAGTACATATATAAATTAAGATGGTAAACTTGTACGTAAGAATGATACCAGTTTCATTTGTATCAATAAACGAAACCTTTTATTTTAAACGAACACTTTTTAACATTTAAAATAAGTGTTATTTAGATGATAAAACCTTTTTAATAAATAATAATCTAATGATTTAGAAATAATTGAGATTTGGTATGTTTATATGAGATCAAGGATTATATATAAATTAAATTTAAAAAATTACCTGGAGAAGATGGTGCCACAGTCACACTTGTATTCCTTGGTACCACAGGTCTTGGAATGAGCTTTCCAATCGGAATGAACCGCATATTTCTTGGAGCACTTATCACATTTCCACTTCTTCTCACCGTGCTTCCTGCAGAAGTGCTTCTTGATGCCGGTGAGATCCCCCAAGGCACGAGCCGGGTTGTGATGAACACACGACGGTTCGGGGCAAACATAAACCCTCTTTCTGATTTCAGTGCTGGTTCTTTGCTTGAGCTTCCATGGCAAATTATGGCCCCGTCTGTGCAGCTGCAAGTTTTGGTCTCGTTGAAACCCTTTGTTGCAAATCTCACAAACGAAACGGTTCGTCGCCATTAGAGAGTTTGGTGATAGAGCAATGACTTCAGCAGCTGGATCTGCAGAGAAAAATTCAAAGAAAATATAGGGAAATTCATGATGTTTGTAGCAGAAATACATGACTTATCAGTATAATTATTAGCTTTACTTGAAACAGTATTTTTTTTTTTTTTTAATGAAAAGCAAAATTAAACAAACAGTAACTTCACTTCAATGATTGTGATCCCTGACCAATAATTGAACCCTTTCAACAACCTTACAATCTTCAATAATTCACCCATTTTTATTGTTTGGATCAAGAAAGTACTCTCAAATCTTTTTCTCTCTCAGACACAACAAAATTTTACAGAGATTCTCCTTTTCTTTATTGGTTTGTTTTGGACTCATTTGATTCTTCAGATCATATTTTTTCTGACAAGAAAATTGGTGTGAAGCATGTGAAATTTAAAAAGCAAGGAATCTTTGAATATTTTATATATGTATATATATAACTATCTCTACCTGGAGTTCCTGGAAGATTTCTCTTTCTCTTGTTGGCTATTGGAGGAGGTTGATGCTGAGTGGTGGTAGTGGAGCCATTGCTGTTGGTGGTTGCGGTGTTGTTTGAGAGTAAGGAGCTTGAGCCGCCATGGAAGTGTTGAGTGAGGAGCTCTTGTTGATGTTCATGATGAAGCTCATCTCCACCAGATGGAGATGAAGAGAAACTAAGTGTACCATCACCTGTGATATTTGACATGGCAGAAACCAAAAGGAGGGAAGAAATAAAAATAATTAAGACAATTAAAAAAGAGACAGACACAGAGAGAGAGAGGGAGAAAGAGAGAGAAGGGGATTCGATTTTTAATCAAAAAAAAAAAAACACCCTTTTTTGTCTTTCTCTTTTCTCTTCCTTCTCTTGTTCTTGAAGATGACGGTGGTGGTGACGGTGGTGGTGGTGAGTATCTAGAGAGAGAGAAGAAAAACAAAAACAAAAAAACAACAAAAAGAAGAAGAAAACTTGGGATTTGTTGGCACTATCTAGCTACTTATAATAAGAGGAAGACAACAAAACAAAAGAAAAGAAAACCAGGAAATTCTCCTTCATTTGTGGTGAAGAAAGAAGAGAGTTTTGCAGGCACACAAAAGAGAAGAAGATTACAAGAACCAGGTCTACTTCCCTTTGGATTTGTATTGTCAATAATATTATTAATATTATTATCAATATATATAGATATATATATGGTGTAATAAGACACTGTACTTGACTCTCTTCGACTAATTTGCCCCTCACTTTCTTGGGTATTTCAAGACTTGCCCTTTTACCAAAATTAACTCACTATTAACACCCCTTTTTAATACCTAAATTTAATTTTAATTCATAGCAACTCCATAAAAGGATTCACACTTTAATATGCATATATTGAAATTTTTAGTTTTTACATCTCCATGATGCAATAATTGGACTTTGAGATGTGATTTTTTTTTTTTTCTAATAAATTTGTAAAAATAGTAGTTTCTGATTCATTTAACGCACGATACAGGTAAATCTGGAAACAATATTTATAGATGGTATGAAAACGCAACTCTGACACAACATTTAACCTTGGATTAATTACAACAGTTATGTTATATTAGTGACCGTTAGGAGCGTGGCCAATGAACGGCGGCCGGGTCAAAGTGTCAGGTTACTACCCAATCAAACTTTGCAAGAACATCATTCCATATATGCAAAATTTTGTTTTGTTGAAACTTAAATATTTCCAACCCTATTTTTGGTTCGGTCATTAAATTTTGAAGTTAAATTATCTTTGTCAAAATTTAAAGTTTTCATCCCATTAAAATTTTGCAATAAAATGACTTTGTTTATGCAAATTTATGAATGTAATATTGGTTCAATTCATTCCTTAAATTAGGATATATAACAAACAATACGACGTCGTTTTGTAATCCTATCATATATTAATAAATACAAGTCTAAAGTCTTATCTTATAGGCTATTCTTTTATGTAGATGGAAAAATATTTATCGCAAATCTTCAAACTATTATAAGTATACTAGAATAGGTTTAGCCTCAAAATGAATTGCCTAGTAGGACCAACTAAAGATAAGATAAAATTTAGGCTTCGTCTGTTTCGCTTTTAGGAATACTATTATTAGTATTTCCAAAAAAGTTAAACAGTAAAATGTCATTATTCTCAAAATATTATTCTATATTTTTCAATTTATTTTAAACCTCTTAAATTTGTTAATTTAACTAAACACTCCCAAATATTTTTTTTAGAAATTGCAAAAACACTCTGGCCACTCTCCGGTGGTGGTAGCCGACTGTCCGTATTTAATGGGTGGGTTAGGGGTGTTTTTGTTAATTTTTAATATTTTATTATAGGGGTGTTTAGTAAATAAACAAAGATAGAGGATATTTTTATTAATTTTTAAATTTTATATCGTAATACCCGTCCAATTTAACTTTTTTTTTTTCAAAATATTATTCTAAAAACTATCAGAATAATGAACCAAACGGACCCTTAGTGTTTAGAACTAATTTAGATCAGGGATAAGATCGAATTTGATTGAGCCGTAATATGTTCCACCATTAACGAACGTTACGATCATAATACGGTTGATTGCTATTTTTGTTTTTTTTGTCGCTCTATCTCTTAAAAGTAAATATATTTTCATTAATATAATTATATATAAAAGTCGAAATTCGATCTCATGGAATGAGATATTGCTTCATTGACAATTTGCTCATAAAATTTTAACATTTCACATCATCACTCAAGTGGGAAGGGTATTTTAGGAATTTCCTAAAGGTTGTGTGGCCCACGGTGCAGGCGGAGGAGGGGCTTCTAGTTAGGAATTTGTCTCATTGTGGTGATATTTTAATAAGAATGATTATATTCCGAGAAAGCCACTCGAGTAAGTCCAAATGACGAAATTGCCACTTTATGAGCAGCAGGGTCACCTGTCACGGGTCGGCATTGATAAAATCCTTTTCGAAAATGACCCGACAATAATACAAAAATACTACTGTTCACGTGCACCTGTTACTGCTCCCTTAATAGTAATTTTACTCAAAATTTCAATTAGGTCCATCAATTTTCTGATTCTAATTTTGGGTCACACTCCTCCGTTGGTAACAATCCCCAATAACTATCGTAAAATTCTTTTCATTTTTTATAATTCGTTAATCTCTCAAACTCGTTTTGCAAACCCGAGTTTGAAATTAAAAGCTTGCCTAATCGGCTAATCTTATAGATACTTTGGATGGCAAACCGGCGCCCTAAACTCTTGTTAAACTTTACAATCTTTAGAAGAGATAAGAAACAATGGCTTTTAACTATGTAAGTACTCGTATAAGGACTCAAACCTGAAACCATGTGAGAGTAAACCACAAACGGGAGTCACTTGACCGTTTGATTTCAATAACACACGAGTAATGATATTTCAATTACACATTAATTACTAGATTATCGATTTTTTGTCCTTGAAGATATAACACACGTGACTAAATTCGTGTAATTAATTTAGTCAACGATCACGTCACTTTAGGTTTCGAAATCACTACAGGAAAATTTTCTTCAACTAACGACATTTCTACCGACGTCGATTGGAATTCTAGAATTTCCACGAACGAGAAGAGTGTCGTAATATCTAATGATATTTTTCGATTAAATTAATAATCAGTTGTGATTCTAGTTTTTCTAAGTGTTCACATACTGTTCTATAAACTCAAATAGTTTGATGAGTTGTGTGTGTGTGTGACTGTGTTTTTGTTGAATATATTTGTAAGAAGGAAGATTCGTGGAAGGAAACAAGGATGGGCAAAAGTCTGCATGTGAATCTATAAGATTGTCGTAATCCTTTACAGAAAAAAGCTATGTACGTGCATGTGTTATTTTTTCTTTTCGGCAGTACAGGATTCTCAGTGGCTGGATTCCATTTTTAAAATAATTATTATATTTTCTTTAACACATGATTCATATGCTTAATTAATTAAATTAAATTAAATTAATTTAAACCCCTTACTTATAACTTGTTATACCCAAGAATTAGGTAACAATTTGATCAATTAATCATATAATCCTGGAGATCTGTCGGGGAATATGAACATACGTACATGCATAAGAGCCTTATTGTAATACTGAATCACTGATAGAATTGACTTTCGAAAATTGTCATATAAAAGAATATACGTCCGACACATATATTTCCACGTCTTGACGTTTTTGTATGCATTGATGATGGGTCTAGCGTCAGAGTTCCTTGACATTGATAGAATGTTTTAACCCCGACGTGTTGGAGGTGATCTTTTTTTTTTTTTTTTTTTTTTTGGTAATCGGACTAATTTGTGAAAACCTCAGCTGATTTTCAGGATCTATTGAACATCCTACAAGCTCAAAGTACTAGGTAGGCGATAATATTATTATTGTAGGTAGCCCCAAAGTGTGAATCAGAACTCAAGGAAATAAGCAAACCTCCTTAAATATCTGGACGTTGTAATACAAACTCTTACATATGTTATGTGCAATATTTGTTATTAATCTTCATGTATGGGATCTCTTGTAATGTATGTAATATTAAGCATAGTGTATTGTGAATGGTGATAGGAATTTTGGAGAGGCATATTCGGAATGCAGGTGATGATGATAAGCTTCGTGAACAGTGTTTGATGTCATTCAAATAATATTCCAAATGGTTCAGCTATTTGTATTATTGTGACAAAGACCATTCATTTACAAAGCTAGCTAAAAGCAAACCTACCTTATTATTTCTATGTCCATAAAGTTCGACTTCTCTATGTACGTACTTTACTTGAGACAGCTGAAACATCGGGGCCAGCAGCATCAAGAATGGGGATCTCTGCATTATTTATTCTCATTTTTGCACTTTTAGCTTGCTAGGGTTAATTTGTACACATACTTTGAACAAGCTTTTTTAAAACGGGGTTTCCTAGAGGGACAGCACTCTGTAAATGCATTAGAGTTTTTCATAGTAAAATCCCATGGGTTTGACGTTTTTGTTGTGAGCATCTGTTAGTTTCCAGAAATACAACTTTTACCCTCACGACGTTTGATATTTTTGTAGTGAACATCTGTTAGTCTCGGAAATACGACTCTAACCCTCATTTTTGTCAGACCGTTAGGTTATTCTATTTAAGTTTGAAGGAAATGACGTTTTTACTATTTACCTAAATTCAATCAATCTAACATTCAAAATCTATCAATAATGTTGAGAGATTAATATATTTTTTGAAGGTTAAATTGATAAAATTATTGATGATTTTGAAGGTTGAATTAATAACATTTCCTAAACCAACGGATGTTCACTACAAAAAAGTTAACTCATAAGGGTTAGAACGACATTTTCAATACATTAAGGTAACATAACATGAGATTTATAAATAAAAAAAACGCAAAATTTGTAAAATGTATTTATACAATACTATATAATAGTCGTAGCCTATCAAACATTTAAGTAGTACGTACTAATGTGTTTTAATTACTCGATGCTTTGTAACCTCATCCTGACGATCAATTTACTCTATTCTCTCAATTAAACATCCTATATTTTCAGAAATTCTTTTATGTTGTGTGTCGTTTGCTTATATATATATATACACAAAGCTATTTTATGTCTAATAAGAGATTTACATAATCAAACCATTATCTAGTAATTATACGTGTTGAAACCATAGCCAAAACACACACAATACTAAAGCAGAAAAGTAAAGAAGACAATCGATTTTCTCTAATTTGTTCCAACAAAGGAACTACGTCCAACATTCAAGTAGAGTAATTTTCATTAAGTTTCAAGAAATCTATAGA